CAGCTCTAACAATATTGTGTGCAATCAGCACATACTTCACTTCACCTGGCCTTGCTATATGTGTGCTATATGATGGCGGTTCACAAATCAAAATTTGGTCTTTAATGCAGGGATGAAAAAATATTTCTACCTTAAAATATTGTACTAACTGTTGCTACATGTAAGGTCTAAAATAACAAGCAAAAAAGAGAAAAATGGGGGGAGTATTTTTCTGCTCCTCCACCCACAAGTTATTGTATGGACATGACATCACAGACCAACCAGGCTGCAGTTGGTCAGGCCTACTTGTAAAAGCAACAGTATTGCCCGCTAGTTAGAGGAAAGGCTGTTAAAAATCGTGCATCAGAGTAACCGTGTAACTAAGGTTGCCAGCTGTCTGGTTTTTGCCCGGACAGTCAGGTAACCGCATCATCTGTACAGTAAAAAACGCCAGAAAATACCGGACATTTTCTGTTTTTGTCAGACAGAAGGCCAGCGGGGACATTTTTCTCCTGACACTTCTGGTGGGGGAATTTAAAGGCCCATAGACTCTTTTTTTTTTTTTTTTTGGCGCAACAAGTTTGGTCTCCCTTTGGTCCACCCTCTCCCCTCCCTTTTTTTTTGTTCAACCAATTTTTTCCCTGCCATGTTTGGGATTTTTTGTGAGAGTATCTAGAAATTCTACATGTAACTGCTGAAAATATCAGGGGTTACACAGGCTGTGGGCTCTGCAGTATAAAGATTAACCTGCTGGCCTGGCTCCCAGGGAGAAGCCTCCTCCCTTTCTGGATCCCAGGGAGATGGCTTTGCTGCCCTGCTGCAGTGAAGCTGCCTCCCTGGGAGCTGGCTGAGTGTAACTGAGACCATTCACCAATAAACATCAGCTTAACCGTTACTCAGTTATACTCTAACATCCTTCAGAGAGGTGGGTCCATTGTGGGCAGAATCCAGGAAGTAGGCGGAGGGTCAGTACCAAGGAGAGAGAAGCTGAATACCAGAGTCGTAAGCCAGAGGCAGAGCTGGGGACTGAAACGAGAAACCAGAAGCAGGAAGGGAACAGGGGGCAGAAGCAGGATGGAGCAGGGACTAGAAAAAGGCAAGCACAACTGCAAGCTTGGTGCCTATTGAGTAGTTGCTCATCTGCTTTGGTGGCTGGGCTTATAAGCAGGGCTGCTTGACCAGAAGCCAGTCAGGGGCTGTTGCCATTCTGTCAGTTCCAGAGCAGTGAAGCTGGGCTCACTGGGTGCCTAGAAGCAAATTTACTCAAGGAGCAAACCAGCAGCTGATCCTACTTGATCTGGTCCCTGATGCAGCACTTTGCCTATAGCAACTTTCACTGTTCGGCTGATGGTCAATTGCTAGGACTTCCAACTTTGGCTGAATGTATTCCCGGAGGTTTCATCACATGACAATCTTTATTTAAAGATTAATGTATAATTCCTGGAGACTTCTAGGAAGTTAGCAACTTTATCAATTGCATTTCCTGTTTAATGTGCTATCAAGAGGACAGCTCTCACATGCTGCTCTAAATGGAACTAACGGGCAGTGACCCCTGCTCACTACACTCACCAATCCTCCTCTCTGGGGGGTAGGCAGCCCTGGCTCCCATTACCCGCAGCTGCCATGGAGGGCCAGGCCAAGGCATGGCATGGCAGCCCTGGCCTGCTCCAGCTCTCTAACCCTGGCGCCAGGGTTGGCCTGAGGCTGAAGCTCTTCTCTACCCAAAGGGCCCTGGCTCTTCCCTTCCTGCCTCCAAGCCCCTTCCTCCCCTCCACCAGTCCTGGCTCTTCTCCCCTGCCCCCGGCCCAGAGGCTGCACCTGCTCTTGCTCACCCTACCCCTGCTCTCGCGCCCCCCCAGCTCCTCCTCCGCAACCTGCCCTGGCTCTTTTCTTCCCCGGCTGCCGGGGGGAGAGGGGAGGGGCTGGGGCAAGGCTGATCCGGCTCTTCCTCGATCTATGGGATGTGTGAGGGGGATGGGGTGCAGAAAGGGGACACGATTCCTGCCCCCCTGGATCACCAGAGAGGGAAAACCTCAAAGATGGGGATGCCCCCTAGAGCATGGGAGAGGCTTCTACCTCTCCTCCCCCTCCCCCTGCAAGCACGGGGGGAGAGAGGAGGCCACGGAGCTCCTGGGCCTTGCAGTTCACGGCTTTGGCTCTCCTCACCCAGAGCACCATGGAAAGATGCTGCTCCAGGGCCTCCCCAGGCCCTGCGCAGCAGTTGAGCTCTGAGGAAAGAGGAGGGCAGAGGGAGGGACGGTGCAGGCAGGAGGCATGTCCTGCAGGAAAAACGTGTTTGTGTTTCTATATTAAAAAAAACTCCCATGCCCTCTGTGTCCCAAGCCCCGCAAGATGGTATTTACCAATAGCACAGCAGTAGAGCTGAAACCAAAACAGGTGATGAGCAGATGTGTACTCAGGGAAAAGGGGGAAATGGGATATTATACGAGTTTGGTTGTACTGTGCCGTGGCTCACCTCCAAACATCAGCCAGGAACAATGAAAGATTCCCCCCCCCCCTTTTTTTTAACAACGATTACTGTGTACATTGCATAAAAGGTGTTCCATTGGAATTCTGAAGTTTCAAAAATTAGCTAATTAAAAAATAAAGCCAATTGTCAGTCCCTTTGAATGTTCTACAAAAAGACTTTGGGAAGGCAAATATCTACATTTCATAGATGGGAAAAATGACAGCTGTTATAGGGGTTTGCTGATGAAAACATGGCACTAAAATACCAGATTTAGACAATCCAAGAGACCTAGCTTCCAGTCTTCTGCTTTAGCCTCTATACCACACTCCCTCCCAACTCCAAAACTTCCCATGTGAGAGGGCACAGCATCTGGACATAGAAAGGTGGGCATTGGTTACTAGGGAAGGAGCGACTATCAAGTCTCTATCTCTCTAAATGAAAGCCACTCCTTTATACCATCATAGATAGCAGAAGATAATTTTTTTCCTTAGAACAAAAAGCTGAATATATCATCCTAACAGCCTGCTGCATTGTGACCCCACACACTAATCTTGTTAAAAGAGAGGTTACTGGGCTCTTTGTTGGCAAACAGCGCATTAATGAGATCTCCTTGAAATAATCCCATCTCTAATATTCAAGGAAAATTACATTTTCCAGCATAATTATGTCAGACACCCCAACTCCAATGCTAAATTGCTTCTCTACAAATTCTAACAGCAGCTTGGTAGATGGCAAACTCTGGGAAGGAAACAAGAGGAAGTTCATGTTATTAACTGAAAGCCACGGTGATTTTGGTAGAACAGATTCTAAGTGGGGTAGCCACAGACGTCCCAGAAGCTTGGCCAGAAGTAGGTCACTGCACTAATGAATATCCTACTGACAGCAGCGTCCTCTCCACTCACAGCTGCTTCTGTCACAAACCATCTACTCTGCAGTCCTCAGGGCACACAAGCAGAGTGTCACAAAGTTCACCTCAAATAACATCCTAAAAACCAAAACACTTTTCCCTGTGATTGTGTCAGATCTCACACTAGAGAGAGTCAGGCTTAGTCACATCTCCAAGGGGAAACAGCAGCTGTAGATAATGGCATTGATAATTCAGAAATTGGGCTTCATGTGTTTCTGAGTTAGCAATAAAGCAGTGCTTAGCATAGAGATGGGAGGTGGGGTGCTGCGTTGCTGCCTTTCAGATGATATCAAGCCAAAGCCTCGACAACTTGTAGTCAGCAGAAGCTGCCTTCTGAAGAACTGTTCAATGATGCCAAAAAGACTGGTTGTAGTGTTCCACCTCAGAAATGGCTGCATTTCACAGCTAACCATGAGGCTATGTCTACACTGCAGGCTTCTTGCGCAAAAGGTCTTGCACAAGAGTGCATCCACACTGCCACGTGCTTTTGCACAAGAACGTCCATGGCAGTGTGGATGCTCTCTTGTGCAAGAAAGCCCTGGTCGTCATTTTAGCTATAAGGGTTTCTTGTGCAAGAAACCCCTGTTGCCTGTCCACATTGCCTTCTTGTGCAAGAGCTCTTACGCAAGAGGGCTTATTCCTCATGGGGAGAGGAATAACTCTTGTGCAAGAAGTCCTCTGTTCCGACGCCTTACTGTAAATTTACTTGCACAAGAACACACGTGCAGTGTAGACGTAGCCTGAGTGTATTTCATCTAATTGTAATTTTACTCTCTATCAAAGTGTAAGCCTTGAGTAACCGCACTCCAGTCAAAGGCATTATGTTCTCTGTGCACATATCTGCCTACCTACCACTAATTTTGATTTCAGCTCTTCTGTTGTGTTACTGGTAAAAACTGGTGTATGCATGAACAGAATTTGGTTAGTGATCTATAAAGTATTTTAGAATCTGCTTGTAAATTTAAGTGGTTCCCCCTTTCTAATGATCTCCTAATGGCTGCCCTAATAGGTCCGTTCCTTTAATCCAGGGGTTGGGAAACTAAGGCTTGGAGGCTAGATTTGGGCCCTGAGGCTCAGGGCTCCCCCTAGCATTGGGAAGCCCACACTGGAACTCCAGTCCCCCCCACCACTGCTGTCCTGCCACTGGGCTGGAGCACACACAAAATCTACTAGCTTGGGCCTCCCTAGACTCTGGTGTGCGAGGGGAATGTCAGGAGTGTCTTTCTGCTTCTCAGTCAGAGGCCATGTCAGTGAGGGTTTGGGAGGAGGTTTGAACTTCTCACTTGTGTGCAGCCTCCAACCCCATAAAGGTTCTCCACCCCTGCTTTAATCCCTCCTCAAGTAAAAGCTCCTCACATGGTGTTCTGCCATGACAGGAATAGCATTGTGTCCCATGACACAACACTTAAGTTCCCAACCTGCAATGACTTAAACCAGTGGTCCCCAACCTTTCGGGGCTGCTGGTCGCCCAGGGGCGGGGCCACCCAGGCACCCAGGGCCAGCACCACACATGTGCTGCATGCCCGGGGTAGGGGCCGCCCATGTGCCATGCACCCGGGGCCAGCACCGCGCATGTGCCGTGCGCCCGGCGCAGCCCATGCACTATGCACCCGGCACCACGCATGTGCTGAGCGCTTGGGGGGAGATGGGGACGAGCTGGCCCAGATGATTTGGCGGGCACACAAATGCCCTGGTGGGCGCCCTGGCGCCCATGGGCGCCACATTGGGGACCACTGACTTAAACAGCTATCGCAGGGCACACAACATTGACAGCAACTGTGCCCTGCTTTTTCATCTGTGCTGTTCTATAATTACTGAGAGCTTCCCCTCCTGCTACAATTACTCCTCCCTCCCCCCCGTTAATTATCAGCCCTGGAATTATGCTGCTTTCCTCCCTCTGTCCTTGTTGTCATGACAACAAACAACAGGCCTGCACCTGCCACTGGGTGCACAGTGGTACTTTTGGAAAGAAAAAAAAAAAATCACAGTAGCAGCAGTGATTATTTCTTCCCATAAATTGTTAGGGATCCCCTATAAGAAGAGGTAAGAGTGACATTTGGTGGGACAGTATCAAGAGAGTGCCATCTGAAGGCAGTCTGCTGCTCTAGGCAGCCCAGTATCTGGGCTATGAAGAACAGACACGGTCACCCACATAAAGTAGCTGAAGATTTGGATGCCCAGTTCATGAAGGGAGTCTAAGATATCAGCTGAAGGTAGGGAGATGGGGTGGATCTCAGTGGCTTAATAGCTCTGACGTCAGCCTGTAGAGCCTGGGATTTTGGGTTCAACACCCCCTGCCTCCCAAGTTGGGCAGCTGATACCAGCTTCCCTCGGGCTGGAGATGGCATCAGTTGAAGATAGGGAGGTCACTTTGCTGCAACAGGCAACTTCCTGTTCAGCATGTATTATATGGAAAACTGAGTATAAGGAGCAAACTGCCACATGCAAAGGTGGTATGCAGAGAGCCAAGTTTGGGTGAGGTAATAGCTTTTTATTGGATCAACATTTGCTAATGAGACACACAAGCTTTCGAAGTGTAGAATAAAAAAATAATACTTCACCCACCTTGTTTCTCTAATATACAAAGGTTGTGTGGCCTAGCGGAAAAGGTGCCAGGAGACCTAGATCCAGCTATGCCACAGACTGACTACATGATGTTTGTTAAATGACTTAGGACAACATTTTTCAAGGGTGCTCGCTAATTCTGGGAGCCTACGATGTTTCTGGATGTCCAATTTGAGATATCTTGAGCCTTCTAGGTGTTGAGTACCAGCAGAAATCCAGCTTCAGCACCTTCAAAAGACTCCAACCCACCCTGCTCGGGATGCAAAATGCATACTCACCTCTAAAACATTTGATTATAATTTTTCTGTAATTTAATTTCTCCCATCTCTATAGAGGTTAAATGCTTACCCTCTTCTGAGATTTATGGATGAAAAGCATTGTACAAAAGTATTAGCTCCTTACAGCCCCTAAAAGAATTGCAGATAGAGTTATTCTAGGAGAGTACAAATGAGTATATATTCAGTTTGCAAAACAGAGACAACTTTTGTTCACTATTGATTTGGTGTGCACGGGACAAATGGAAGGTTCTATATGCCATTACCAATCCTTGAAGTTAGCCAATGTATCTGGGATTTTTTGTTTTTGTTTTGTTAATTACAACCATCCCCAACAGATGTTTGTCCATCTTCTTTTTAAAAAACATCTGATAATGGGGATTCACCACTGGAAGCTTATTCCAGAGCTTACTTATTCTTATGACTGGAAAGTTTTGCCTGATATTTAACCTAAGTTTTCCTTGCTACAGCCCATCACTTCTTCCCACCTTCAGTGAACATGGAGACCAATACATCACAATCCCTAACATTGTCCCTAACATATTTGAAAACTTATCAGGAGCCCTCTTCCCTAGTTTTATTTTCTCAAGACAAAACATGGCCAGGTTTTATTAACCTTTCCTCAGTGGTCAGGTTTTCTATATCTTTTATTAGTTTTGTTCTCTTAATTTTCTCCAATTTCTCCACATCTTTCTTAAAGTGAGATACCCAGTACTGGACACAGTATTCCAACTGAGGCCGTTTTCACAACTGCATCACATTGTTGACCCATTTAATCTGTGATCCACTATATCCTCCTTTTCAGATGTACTACTACCTAGTTAGTTATTCCCCATTTTGAATTTGTGCATTTGGTTTTTTTCTTTCTAAATGAAGCACTCTGCACTTGCCTTTATTGAACTGCATCTTGATGATTTCAAACCTACTCTCTAAATTCTCAAGACAATTTGGAATTCTAATCCTACCCTCCAAAATGCTTGCAACCCCTCCCAGCTTGTTGTCATTAGCTGATTAAACACAATTTAACATCCCTAATCGAGTACAGGCAGTCCCCAGGTTACATACAAGATAGAGACTGTAGGTTTGTTCTTAAGTTGAATCTGTATGTAAGTCTGAACTGGCGTCAGCCGCTGCTGAAACTGATCAGTTTCAACAGCGGCTGAATCTGGACGCCAGTTCTGACTTACATACGGATTCAACTTAAGAAACCCAGGCGTCCCCAAGTCAGCTGCTGCTGAAACTGATCAGCGGCAGATTCCAGGAAGTCCGGGGCAGAGCAACTCTGCCTCGGGCTTCCTGTAGTCAGCCCCTGGTCAGTTTCAGCAGCGCGCTGCTGAAACTGATCAGTTTCAACAGCGGCTGAATCTGGACGCCAGTTCTGACTTACATACGGATTCAACTTAAGAAACCCAGGCGTCCCCAAGTCAGCTGCTGCTGAAACTGATCAGCGGCAGATTCCAGGAAGTCCGGGGCAGAGCAACTCTGCCTCGGGCTTCCTGTAGTCAGCCCCTGGTCAGTTTCAGCAGCGGCTGACTTGGGGACGCCTGGGGCAGAGCAGCTGGGGTGCTGCTGGGTTGCTCCAGTAGCGCTGCTCCTCGGCGCTACTGGAGCAACCCAGCAGCACCCCATCTGCTCTGCCCCAGGCGTCCCGAATCAGCCGCTGCTGAA